TATCTCCCTCCTCCCTCTAGTCCTGGCCTCTTCCCTATAGGTCCCTTTTGCCACATTCAGGCCTTTTGTTCTTTGCTTGTAACCTGATTTTAACCAGAACCATCCGTGTGGCTGACTAGTCAGTGGAGCTCGGCAGGCTCACTGTCTGGTATAGTACCGAAGGCAATGACTGTCCCTACCTCAGAATCCATTTGAACAGACAGCTTTTATTTTGGCCTTTTTTCGAGTCTTATTGGCTCAACACGAGGTAGTTATGTGGTTTGGGGCAAGTCGCTCAACTCCTAGGTATAACTTTTGTCATCTGCAAATATGAGTATTTACAGTATTTTCCTCATAGGCTTCTTATGCGAATTCAATGAGACCTGTAAAATGCCTGCGTCAGAACCCGACATACAGAAAACCTTTAAAAAAATTACTGTTTATTTTTCAAGTAATTTACCTTATCATGGGAATATAAGTATTTTGAAATTACTCAAGTGCGCAAAAACATGCAGAACTGTGTAGAATGGGAAACACAAAAACAAAAACCCATCTTCTGCCTCAAAAAAGAAAAAAAAAATCCCAAACCTTCAAAATTTGATGATGATGTTGCAAAGATGGGAAGCACGAAGCTTAAGTTCCAGGTGCCATCGATATCCCGCTCAGTGGGCGAAAGCGTGTAGTGGCAAGCTGGCGTTCAGTCCTGCCTGCCTCCGCCCCACAGGGGGTAGCGGCTCCTGAAGGTTCTCCTATAACTTCCACATACACACACATAAACGAAACAACATTTAAAAAACCAAACCCTTCAGCCCCATAAGCACATCCATGCCTTGAGCGTGGAACCCTGGCCCTCACAGTTTAATCCTGCCACTCTCAGTTAGAACCCCTTCACTGTTTCTCACTGCAGAGGAACCTGATATGGTGTTCGCCAGCCAACGAACAGCCTTCTTAGCCTGCGTGTGGAACTCCTTCCTCCCCGATTCCACATCAACCTCCTGCACCCATTTATTTTCAAACAGATCCCACCGTGTCCTTTGTGCCTCCATTCTTCCCACAGCTCACCCTTCCTGCCCTATTAAATTAGCCCTCTGTTTTTAACGCTTAAACATTTTTTTTAGGTTTACAGAGAATTTACACAGTAAGTGGATTTCTCCAAGTCTCTCTTAATGATTGCATCCTGTGCTGGTGGGGTACATTTCTTACCACTGTTGAACCAGTCCCAATGAGTTACTATTAACTGAAGTCCACAGTTTATATTAGGGTTCAGCATTGTGACGCACAGGTCTACGGGTTGTGACAATCGCACAGTGCTCTAATCGCACAGTGCTCTACGCCCATCACTTTGCTGCCATACAGAATAGCATCATTGCCCTGTGTTCTTCTGCCTCAGTGAAGCAGCAGCTCACGGAGAACCGGGAAAACTTCTCAGTCCTTCAACTACGACGACTCCCTAGGCTCCTCGCATAGCGTTTCCTCACACTTGTTATAGATAGCTTCCTTCCCTAGATGGCTTGTCCTTGAGGAAGGGGCTGTGCCACACAGTTTACCCTAGAAACACCTAGCCTAGACAAGCGCTCTTTAACAGATGCCTTGTGAATGCTGGCTGAACTGGACTGTGGGCCAGTATCATTAGCATGACATTTTTGGTAGCAGTCTACAGAGGCTGAGCTTGAGACCTGGGATTCTGACGGTGACACATGCTTCCTTGCAAAGCCGTCCTATCAAAGGATAAGTTCTTTGAAGGGAACCATCTTGTATCCTTTTAGATTTCGGCTCAGGCAAGCTTTCTCATACACGGGCCACGGGCTGTTCCCCAACCTTGCCGCTTTCCAAAAAGCAAAGTAAAAAAAAAAAAAAAGCAGGCAAACATGGTTGTTTTCGTCTCTCCTGACTAGACAGTCTTCTCAAGACCCCTGAAGAGTCATTCCGCCCAGGTGGATTTCCCGCAACAATCAGGGATGCTCAGCGTGTCGCCTTTGAGCAAGGAGCACCTTCCAATAAACATTTATTTCCTTAATTCACGCTGAGCCTTTCTGTTTTAAAGACACTGTTCTCAACCGTTCTAAAACTCAGTGGGAACAAGCAGATCCGAACAAAGGCAAATAAATCGAATCCTGCAAAGTAACAAAGCAGATGCCTTTCCCCAACAGCCAGCACAAAGCTAAATGAAAAATATCAGTCATCCGCTAGATACAGTATTTCCCTCTCTAGACAGGAGCTGGGGCCCGCAGACCTCCCCCACTCCAAACAGGAGGCCCAGAAGGTACAAAACAAAGTACTCCTTCCCGAACGACTGCTCCGCGTACCTCTCAGCCCTAGCGGTTTGAGAGCTTGACTGTTGCTTCGCGGTACCTGCACACGTGGAGGTGATTGTGAGAAGGAGGGTTCCCACCGCCACGCGAGCAGGGGGCGAGGGAGGGCGAGGGAGGGGATTCAGGGCTGAGGGCCGGTCCCAGAGGACAGTTAGCGCTCTCTAAAGAGCAGGGCTCCCCCATTCCTTTGCACCCCAAACTGGAGGAATCGGGCATCCGGGACGCCTGCCTAGAACCAGGCAGCGCCCGCGAGCCGTGAGCTTGGATGCGGCAGCGGCGACCGCCGGCGGGCACCTGGGCCCCGGGGGGCGGAGCCTGCGCCAGGTGTGCCGAGCGCGAGGCCCACCCGAGCCGGCCCAGCGGCCCCCGGGGCCCCGGCCGGCCCCTCCCGGGGGCGCCGTGCGGAGGAGCGGCGCGCCCGCGCCCCC